TGTGAGTCTCAAATGTAGAGTACGGTATACAACACTACACCACCACCTACGTACCTAGTAGTCCAGATATACTACAACTCGAGGTACAAGTACATAGTGGAAGTCTTACTTCCCGCGCGAAAGCGTCCGTAATGTTACCCTTCGAAGGCAGACAGACAGATTACCGGTGACCTTCATTCCATCAGTCAACAGCCTCATGACAAACCAATTGGCCACTTTTCCCTACTTAAATAACATTCCCTAAGAAAACAATAAAACTCCCCCAAAGTCAAGAATAATCTAACCGCAAATGCCGAAACCTCGCCTTGCATATGCATCTCGAATCTGCAGCGGTTCATTGCTCCTAAATTCACATGCTGTCCATGTGTGAGTGGGCCGCCACCGTCGGCGGAGTACCTCCTCTGCTGGAAAATCGAGGTATCTGAGTGGTCTGAGACTTGTCTCACTTGCACCATTGCAACCTCATGCGAGGTGCGCAGCCAGGGAGCAAGGGTTTAAATGGCTCCGAAAATGGGCTCGCACATCGGACTCAGCTTCCTGTTAAGATAACGAGCGGCCTTGGCCTTTTTGGTTCCATGACACCACCGGATTCCCAGCCGTTTCTGGGTGGGGGACGCTAAATCCTGATATTGCAGTATCAGCAATCCGAGTTTGGTGTGAACGGTGCTCATACCCCAACATCCGCGGAAAGGACACCCACCTCGGACAGGAAGAATCAATTTAAATCCCTGCTAGGCGTTTGAGTCTAAGGATGTCCTAGCGTACGTATCCAGTCTAGCAGTCTCGACTAGGAGCGCTTTAATCTACATAGTAGGTAGTAAAAGGCACTGTCAAATTCCATGTTAAGCTCAAATTGGCAAGTGGGCAATGCCACGGGATTTTCTTATTCGCCTCACTTCAACACCTTACATCATCATTCATCACTCTTCTGATCAGTCACAGCATAATGGATGCAAGTGTTTCGCTTGGAATACTAAGAGGGAAATATGATGTGAATCACATTTATTGCTGCGAAACGATGGTATGAATTATTATGGGAGCATTTTGTAACCCATCAATCTCCGATGCTTCCAGCTCCTCTGCAAGCTATGCTACATCAAAATGCCAGATGCAATCTGAATGCAAGACACTCTTGCCCCGATGTGTCCAACTGCATATGCTCCACCGTTCCCTCCATATTTAAACGATTGCTCGTTTTCACTTTCCTGCGTTTGTCAAGAGAAATAATCCCAATCCCAAACCCAAAGATTGTCAGAATGGAAGAGAAGTGCAACACTACACAAGCGTCCAGACATCCGCCCTGCTGTTCTACCCTCGCTGCGACAAACGGTGCAAACAATCTCCAACCAGTATTGGCCACAGCACACCACCCAACGAGAAGAACCAAGGCAGATCCATTGGTGCCCATGTTGATGCACCGTGGAGCAAGGACTGTAGCGAGCTAGTCGAAGTGCGCATTCTGCACAGATCCATGCTTGCCGAAGACCTTAAAGTCTGCCGCACATCCCGTAGCGAGGGGCCGCGACGAGAGCTTGATGCCCTTATGCTGCTTCGTCTTCTTCTTGCCCTCAGCACGATCATCGTTCTTGGCCTTGGACTTGCCCAAGCCGGCGTTCATCTCCTGGTCGTACTTGTCGAAATCAACAGGGCTCTCGTGGTAGGGGGAGATGTAAGCTCGGCGTCGCTGGGGCCGGTAGTCTGCATACTGGTCCCTGCCACGACTCTCGAGCGTGCCCTTCTCTTGCTCATACCACCGCTGATGCCATTTGCAGTATTCTCTGCTGCTCTACACCAGAGAAACTTTCACTTCATGGCATCGCGGATCAGATTTCCCGAACTCGCACTCCTCGAACTTGTGCCGCAACTCGCAGGGACAGTTGCGGTAGCGGAGATAGATTTGTTGACACATGTTTACAGTGAAGAGAGTTGAGTCTTAGTTGTTGTAGAAGTGGTATGTTGATTATCACTGAGTAGCTTCAAGCTTGAGAGTGCTTGAATCTAGTCTGTTGGAGTGGATGAATGTGTCAGGACTTGATTGAATAGCTACTTGATCCTGTTAAGATCAAGAACCTACTTCGACAACAGATTAGCATACCGTAGACGTTGTACGAAGGGTGAGCATGAAGATACGGGCATACGGTAGGGACACAGGAAGGTCGGTGCTCAGTGTGTGACAGACGAAGACGTAAAGATTTGGAAACACGTGCTCAAGGATATGATGGGTGATCCTTACCTATGCTATTGAAGTGAGTACTAAGGAATAGCAAGCTCTTCAAGAACATCGAGAATAGGTTTTGTGCAGTTCGATGCTGCCGATTTGGGATCGGAATTGAATATCGAGTGGTGGGGGAGCCGGAGGGGAGTGCTACAAGTTGGGAAGCGGGTAAACAACTTTCGGAAAGCCGGGCAAGTGCCACAATTTATACTAGAAAGAGGGAAATGCAATACATGCAGATTAATGGAATAATAATGGCCGCATACGTTATACCATTGTTGAATGCGGGAATAAGCATTAGAGTGCTTGAATGGGCAAACCCATTAGCTAGTCAATGGGGTCAAGTTAAAATTTTCACGAGGACATGGTCCAAGCGGCTTGTGAGAGGCCGCCTTGGAACTGAGACAGTGCCCATGCTTTGTTCGTAATAAGCAATGCGTGGGGAGATAATCGGAACGCATTAATAACGCCATTGGGTACAACCCGAACTAACAATTGAAGAGCTCAATGTGGTGCATTCTTAATGGTCCATTGTCCGATCCCACTATCGTGTGGCTAAAACACTTATTGGTGATATCATGGGACCGACGAGAAATATTGCGGCGATAAGCTTATTATATATAGATACGTTTATCCCTCGATGGGCGTGTGCAACATTCCTGATCCAGTATCCCGAAATGCACCACGACCAAGGAAACGTAGTACAGCTTTGATCATTTCATGGGCTTTTGGCCCTCTGTTGGAGCATAGCAAAAAGGGGGTGGGAAAGCACTGGTTTTATTGGGCATTAGCCTAGTAATAAGTAATAATTGACCTATCATTCCCGGCAAACATTTCTCTCGAGTTCCACAACATGTCTAGGAAATTACGGCGTTGATTGCTTTCTCGGGGCAGGGTGTTTGTTAGCATCCGGGAATCGGTCCCGTGAGCCAAACCCATAAACTCCACTTATCCATATTTTGTATAAACAGCATTAGTCAAACTGCCATACTAAGCCTTTTGTACTAAGCTAGGTTTCCATTATTGATTGCAGTAGCCAGCAATAATAGTTTGTTAAGTCAAGCATGCAACTTCAACTTGCATTTTCTATATTATGAGAGAATATGGGACCGGTGAGGTTAGTGCTACAACAACTCATCCTGTAGCTACTTATGTGTCTTTGTATGTACTCCCTCCCGCATCATTCCGACTCTGTGGGTGGTCTCCTTGAAGTTTTGTAACAGCTTAGAGACTCGTTTCCTTTCCTTGTCCCTGGAGGGTGACTGAGCTCTAGAAACGGAGAGCTGATCATGGGATGTATTATGAGCTTCCCCTTATCTTGCCCCATCTAAAATGTGACTCTCTTTAATGCTGGAGTCCTTGGGCTATCTTACAGGTTCCCTCGGGATTTCTAGACTTTTTTTAAAAAAAAAAATGGAGAGGGCTCAAGAGGGCTCCGGCAGACATCGGGGGAGTGATAGCAGCGCGCTTCCGTACTTATCCGTACTTATTATAGTCACTCATCTTGGAGCTCCATCTGGTGGATCGCTCGACTGCTCTACAAGCGTCTATGGATACTGCTGTAAGTTGATTGCGCTTGTTGAGGGAACGCCTCGCCCCAGTGGTCTGTTACATTGAACAAGTAAATCGATATTTATTTGATCAATACTATGGTCAAGTGGCCTCCCAAGTCCATAAGCTCTTCTCTTGCCTATAGTTCCACCCTCATCCGGCCGCCAGAAGACCCAATAGCATAGCCCTATGTGTAACCCGGATCTCTCCCGGATGTCCGAGAAAAACCACGTGGATACACCGAGTCTATGGCTAAGGATAGGTTTCGTCCCCGTGATTGGGTGCCGAGCAGCGAAAAACGTCCGGGTCGTAATACGAATGTGTTCATACCAAGGAGTGTTTTAGACTTCGCACGAGATGGTACTCAGATACAATAGCAAATCGAATAAAGTAGCCTCTCAAAATAGCGTAAGCCGTAGTCGGCAGTATTGGCAAAGGCGTCAGTGTCAACGAGGAAGAGTCTGGCGATGATGTGGTTATTAGTCAACTTTAGCGTAGGTGTATAATATTGAGAGCATTAGTAATCGATCACGCGGCCGAAAAGGTCCTAGTATCATTTGAAGAACGGACCTGAGAAATAAAAGGGGCCAAATAGGAGGTCGAAATCGGAGGGTGAGTAAAGACGATATGCGTAATGAGTAGGATAAAAGGCCAAGTTTTACGCTGTTAGGTACGCGATATCCTAGGTAAAGAATGACAGAAACCCTGATGCTTATAAACATATACCAAAAAACCGGGTTCATCACACGGGATCTAAATAAGCATTCGAATAGGTGGTGAGCGTCATATATTTATAATTATCAATACTACTAGTACCTAATCTTCATAGGTGCCTGGTGGGGAATTTAGCTATAGAAATGCAGAACCACCATTCAGCTTAAACTGAATACAACTTCTGTTAGTTACCTACATGCAGTTTCGAGTGTCAAGTTGCAACCCTGTTACATTCAAACCAAGACTACAAAGAAAATGGGCTTGGCCCAAGTGATACCTGTTACGTCTAATTAACATGATATAGATCTAACATGAAGTACAACGTTCTCTACTTCATCTACTTCCAATGATGGATGTTACTGCCACTGGTGTGGGTATGGCACTAGATAAGTAGTTCTTGGTTCCTTGACGTAACCCACTTAGACCCCAACGCCAGAATAGCCTATATGCACCCTAAATTATTAGACCAATTGAGAAAAAAGAACGATTCCCACACTCGACATCAATTTAGCAAAACGTATGGACGAACGGGGAATTGAACCCCGGACCCCTCCCATTCTCTACTGAAGAATTCAGCGATGCGAAGGGAGTATCATACCCCTAGACCATTCGCCCGGACCGAGTTGTGGAGAACTGATTGACCGGGCACTGGGATGCGACGCATATTGAATCTCGGCGCAAGCATGAAAGGGTAAATGTTGGCATAGTCCGTTAGACCAGGAGAAGTGTAGAGAGCTAGCCTGATCGTTTTCCCAAGGGGTGAAATCACTCATGTTGAAAGAAATGACAGCATAAGCTTATCCCAGATATATTTCCTCCAGTTTCAGATGTCGAGAACCAACAGTTAATCTGCGTTAGATGGCGCCAGATCATAGGCATATTGCTAAGCCACAAGCCGGCTGAGTGTATAGTATGGCACTGCTTAATGGTTTTCTTAGTTCACAATCTTCTTCTAGTGTATACCAGGAGGTTTGTATGTGTTGTCTGTCACTAGGAGACCTGCATAGCCTGAGGCTCGAGTCAATACATTCGACTATAGTATCTAGAAAACGCCGGGTCTTGTCCGTTTCCCCAGGGCAAAACTGGAGACCAGAACTCTATGTATTAAACTAAGAGGGAAAGCAGTTTCTAATATAAATAATGTAGCTATAACGTATTAAATGTTAGTAATAGATGAACACTCCCTCCCTCCCCCCATCCCGGATCCAATTACGAGATCAGGGCCTAAGCGCTTTCCTTCGCTTTCCTTCTATGATATCGTATATTCCCTTAAATGGCTCTTCGAGATGCAGAAGCAGAAGCCTCTTGAGTCGATTCAAGTTACATGACAACCAGGTGTTGCCTGCATGGATTGATATATTGTAGCAAGCAATGGTCACAGCGCCCAGTTGTGTATATGTGTATGAATGAGAGGACCTTTGCAGCCCTTCTTGCCACACACGGAGCCTCCGTCTTGATGCTCTCCCAAATGTTGGAGACACCGCGTCATTCACCTGGGTGGAACTCACATGATATACATCGAAGACCTAGCATGAGTGCAGAGCATTCTCTATCTGAATTAACAATTATCCCAGCGAGATATCGCTCGACAATAAAGTCTGGAGAACAGGTGGACGGACCTACACAGGTCTGGACTAAACTTGCTACTGTGGTAATTTGAGGTCCTTCCTGGTGTCAAAGCGAATGAACCCGGGCACGCTTCTCTTTAGGGCTACCTACCTCGGAATCCTGACGGTTACTATGCTCAACATCGTAGCCCCGTTGGACATGTTCTCAAATATTGAACGGTTATTGTTGCTAAAGCTGCCACTAGGCTCCAATGATAATAGAGGAATGGCCTTGGGGACTAGTTGCTAGAGAACGCAGCCACCAGAAGGACTATCACAGGGCATATAGACAAAGAAGACCGTTCCTGTATATAGTTAGGTGGCATTTAGGAAAGTATTTTAGGAGGCCTTTGCGCGATAACAAATATTATCACCTACCCTTAGCATACGGCTTCTAACACTAGTTTCCTGACACTTCAACTTCATCATCAGAGAAGGCAAGGAGGGGTAAGTAGTAAGTAAGTCACCCCGGGGTGGGATAGTGACTCTTTTACTTCTTTGGCACTGGACAATCGCTAGGATTGCGTGCATGCAGTAGTAGCCGAGCTCCTTGGTATAGGCCCAATAGAGTCTAACCCCCCTTTTGCAACTTGCCTAGTAGTTATTTACACTACGGCTAGGCGTGTGTGAATGTTGCTAGCTTTCTAGTTTGGAGTGTTTTCGAACTTTAGGTTGTTATGATTGGCGGACTAGTTACTGCATCAATACTAGCTAGCAAGCTTAAGCTGGCTGAATCAAGTTTTTAAAAAGCCGACGGTTGTTTGTTTGGCTTGTGTTGCTTTGTTTAAACAGCAATGAACTGCTGGCTCTTTGCCTTGCCTAATCATAGTTCGCTTGTCTAGCGGGCTTTAACGGGCCCAGCGGCTGTCTAACACTGGCAATATATAATTAGGCTACGTAATCGGTCCTCCTAACTGTACCCCGCTGCACCAAGCCATCGGAACGTTGGTCATGAACCAACCGGTTTAGAAAAAAAAAACATAGTGCAATCTCCGTCCGGGATCAATTGCAACGGTAAAAAGCAAAAGGTACGACCAGGGCCTGATTCGAACAGACGCTCCCGAAGGAAGTAGATTTCTTTGCATTGCAAAGGCAATACAATTCGAGTCTACCGCGTTAACCACTCCGCCACCTGGCCATCATTCATTGAATCGGTGAAGTATTGCGACACATAGTTGATTTATCATTTTCGACTAATTCAGAGCTGTGCCCGATTAAATATCGTCAGGTGGTATTTCGGCTTGCTGTATGTATAAATGGATGCTAGCCGTCTACTTAGGGCGGGCATTAATGGCGTCTCTAGTGGTACCTTTTCATTCGCAGAAACCAATGTGCCAAGACTACACAGGCGGATTTCGGGATGAGCAATTACTCGATAGGGAAAGAAGTCGTAGCCTAACAGTTGCAAAATAACATTGCTGCTCTGATCGGATAAAAATATTACATGTAGATGTGTTCGATCAATGAAGTATTGCCGTTTAGGCTTGCTCTCTTGAGGGGAAGGAAAACGAAAAGAACTAAGGGACATGTTGTTACAAGCGAGTTACTGCCCAACCCTATCCGAGGAAACAAGCACTGTTGCTTCTTCTAATCTGAAGTTTTTGGTGGCCGAGAGGTGCAAGGTTGGTGCATCGCCCTTTGTAATGAAGTCTAGTTGTTTTGACTACATACCTATTTTTGAACTCACTGTATCGCTGTTGAGTTTTGTATTCTTTCTCCTGGTCCCTCCTTCTATGATCTACGCTAGATCCTACCGACGGCGTGCGTGATAAGCATAGCCAACAACGACGATTTCCATCAAGCTTCAGCAAATGTGGCGTGTTGATGTTATCTCGATTGGTCTAGTGGTAAGGATACCTGCTTGTCACGCAGGTGGCCGGGGTTCGATTCCCCGATCGAGAGCTTCTTTTTCACTTTTTATTCGTTAACGTCTTTGAGCCTTCCCTTTTTCTTTCTTGTTAGCCCTTTTTTTATTTTATCGCGTACTCAATTTACTTTCCTTCCCTATAGTCCCCCCTTCAACTTCACTTGTTCGTAGTGCAAAGAGGGCCAGAAAGGCATGAAGATGTTCAAGCTTCCATTAAAGACCTAGGTTATTATAATATCTAATGAATCTATATCTACAACACCCTAGGCACAAAATGAGCAAAGGATTCGTTTTGCTACATAAGACACAAAAATATGAAAGAGGAAGCCAAGATAGAGAGAGCCATGTGGGTGCCCATTCTCTGGAGTATCTGTTCAGCAGGTTGATATCCCTAGAAGAGCATATTACTCGATCCTCTTCTTTCCCTCTTCTGCATTGAGATATCTCGCTGTACTCAGCCCGCGCTCGTGTCCTGCGACAAAAGAGCCGACCACTTTGCCCTTCCTGATTTTGCCAATTGTCTCTTGGTAGCCTTCTATAGCCCATGGTCGTGGGTTCAACTTTGGCCAATTCACCTAACCATGATATCAGTATACTGGCTTGGACCGTGTCGGGCTTACTGCCATGTCTTGGTGGGTTACTTACAAATAGCATGCCATTCTGGATGATAAAATTCAGACACCAGCCACCCACTATTAACCAGAAGAGGATGAATAAGCGCATGGGTAGGACGGTAGAATCCGGCAGACGTTTGCTGAATAAGCCTAAGAAGACGAAGAATATGCTGAAGGCGAGGATGTAGGGGATGCTTTGTATGAGGATGGGCCTACGGTCGGCAAATATGAGTGACGAGCCGATGTTAGCGGCGGTAGGCTCATAAGCGCCCAGGAATAAGTCATAAGCGTCTTGCCGGGGTCCGTCTCGGAAGTTGTTCAAATAGTATCGAGTCACGGCAATATTGCCGTCTTGGAAAGTTCCTTGTTTGGTACGCTTTCCCAGGCGTGTGAGGTCTGTTTTCATAGCCCCGGTGCCGGCGTATGCTTTAGATACTGTGTCGGCGTTGTCTGCCCACAAATTGCGGAAGAGGAATTCGAAGGCTGGATCCGCCGTAGCAAAAGTCTCGCCTCGTTGAAGCAGACCTAGGTCTACAAAGATGCGGTCTAAGGTCCACCTAGCAAGCATGCTCTGAACCACATTTGTACGATCAAGTGAATCCATGCAGTTCGTCCTTACAACGCTTGTTTGGAAGTTCCTCGTCTCTAATCCACCGTTCGCAGGCATATCAACGCCTCGGAAATATTGTTGTGCTATTAGTGCGTCTTGTAATCTATCAACAAGCATCATCGCGCGATGCATCTGCATCCCCTTGGTCTCATGATGAAAATCGAAGTAGACGTAGTGTAGGCGGTCGAATTCCTGTTTAGAGGTGGTGGGCTCGATGACACGGAACTTCTCATCGGTGAGAAGGTTCTTATCGACGGTTTCCGTTTTTGAGCTAAGAAGCATTTTTACCATTTGCTCGTAGGCCTCCTTGACGCGTTTTTCACGGCCGGTTTGATTGACTAGATTGACGAGATAATTGTCACCGTATATGCGGATTTGCTCGTCGAAGTGTTTCTTGGCAGCAGAGAAGGCGGTTTCAATCCCGCGAACCTGCAGCTTTGGTGTGTATTTGAGAGCGTTGATCTCGGACCAGTAGACGGGCACACTTCCTCGAGTTTGGACGTAGGACATGATCTGCATTTCCCGTCCGTCGGAAGCCCCGAACTTGCCACTTTGCATATCAGTGCTTCCTGCGTACCCTCCCAAGCCACCGCCCGCGTCATTCAAGACTACAACTTGCTCAGTTTCATTGTAATTGGCAGCGTGGCCCTCCTCGTCGATACCTCTCGTGAAATATCTGGTTCCAGCTCGGTATCTCGATTTTCTAGTAATAAGGACGATGGTGAGGGGTGTGCCCTTGAACTTGGTAGGCCGTATTTCCATTGTCCCCCATATCAATGGTAGGATAAAAGGATCGGTGGCTGGCTGGGGGCCCTGCTGGGATCGGCTTCCCATTTTTCGGAAGTCAATTAGATCAGACTGGACAAATCTGTTCCAGAAGAAGCGATCGTCGGTGCGCATCCATAGAGGGGCAGAGTTATCGACAGAAGCCTGTCTTTGGAAGCTATTGGTGAGGTCGATTGAATATGAGAAGTACATAGGGCCGGTCATGATATAGGACTTCAGGAGGAACAAGAACTTGTCCTCATCAGGATCGTGGATCTGACGTTCTCGCATTGGTAGGAAGTCCGTCGAGATAACCTTGTACACCATGTGTCCCTTGAGACGACCCACGGGCTGGGCTTTCGTAATGACGATGGCATACTTGTCTGTCCCCAACTCGTCAGTCTTGGCTACTTAGCTGTCTTGGGAGGGGGAGCCCTACCTAGCCTTAGTTGGATGAGGCCTAGAATCCCGGCTATACTGGAGACACGGGCGACACGTTTGGTGTTGACGGAGGCAGTTTCGCTGAGGCGAACATCGCCGGTCGGTCTATCGATGACTAGAGCTGGAGCATTGGGCGACGAGGGCGACGTGAAAGTGTAGGATTCGGCAGCGACGTGGACATTGATGTCCCGGTATGGAAGTGTCATGTTGGGCCAGATGATAGCACAGCCCGGCGCACGCTCATAGCTTAAGGATGGACAGGCCCGGATTGGGTTGACAGTGTCTGGCCCGGAAGCCTTGGGAGATGGTACCGGTCGCGAGCACTTTGTAGCGCTCGAGCTGTCGGCGCAGCCTTGGGTTTTGTGTCAAGGTGGATTGGGTAGAAGGTTACGGTGATTGGGTCAAGCTCCTGAAATCTGCGTATAAAGTGTCATCATACATATTCTTATAAGCCGCATATACTACGGTGGCCCACAGCTCTTACTGTGTCATAACCTTCACCTTAAACACTATAACACCTAACACGGACCAACTTTAACCCTTTTAACGCGATTTATTCTGCGGCATCAACTATTAAGCCATAATACTTAATACAAACGATGTAGCCTTTGAGATTACGCATTTAACAAGCCCAACTACGATCGAATAGCTCTTATTAATATATTTTAGCTAATATATACATATTAAGAGTTATTTGCATAATATGTAATAAAACAAAAAGTATTGCTGTAAAAAAATCATCTTTTGCGGCTGCGCTATACCTAATCGGTACTTAATAATAGGTCGGGATTTTCTACGCTAAGCCCAAATCTGGTAGATCTAGACCTAATTGATCGTAATCGGCGCAACTAAACCATATTGGGTCAATGTCTAAGGTTGAACAATAAGAATATGGTGTTATAGAATATGGTTATGACACAGTAACAGCTGTGGGCCACCGTAATATACCTAGTTCAAGCGCGTGCATATTCACATGTGGTCTGGCCTTTCCAAGTTTCCGGACCATACAGTGTGAGTAATATCAACGCAGACTTAATACTGTATACAGCATATTGGCTGCCACCTGACCCTCTGGAATAGGTCATTTAGACAGCTTTATAATGGGTACCGTCCGGTAGGTAGCCACTGAAAGAGGAACCCCGAGGTGTGTCGCTGAGCTTAAAGTCGGCGCATCAACGGCCCTGTTAATAGGCCCCCAGTTGAATCCCGGACGCTCAGCCACTCACTACTCAGCTCACACTGGATCCGTCAAGCTTCCTAACCTTGTCACCATTCATCAAATGTCCAGGCAGTGACCAAGTTCAACCCCAAGCACCTCTCCCAACACTACCATCTCGCTTCACTACGACGACACACCATCAACATCCGAGGACCTCGCCGTGTCGCCTCATCTTTTAGCAGCCCCCCGTCCGTGCATCCGCACTATATCGACGACTGCACTAAGCTCCCTTCCGATAAGATACGCCGCGCCCCCCCATCGGCCTCCTTTGTCGTCTTGATCCGTCACAACCGCGCAGTGATCGTCTGCGCCCTACCTAGCTATCCGCACCACACATACCTCGCACAATGGCTTCTCGGGCAGGACCTGCCGCGGGTCGCGGTATGAACACTCGCTTTGCACAATTCAAACTGGTCTTACTGGGTATGCTTGTTTCCCGCTGCTTATATGCTTTTAACCAATACTGACGCACGCCTAGGGGAGTCTGCTGTAGGAAAGGTAATAGACGATGTCGATGCGAACTCAGGGTATTGGCAAAGCTAACTCGCCGGGACAGAGCTCGATAGTACTTAGATTCGTTAAGGTACTTATAGGCCCTCTACGTAACATGTTATGAAGCCTA